CCCCCCCACCCCGCCCCTTTCCAGGCTCCCTCACGTTCCTGCCACTCTCAAACTCTTTAGCACCCTCGCCCAGACCCCCTTACCCACACGCCTCGCAGGCCCGAGCCCCTCTCACATCCAGCCTAAGAGCTTCGAGCTCCTCAGGCCGAGGGACGCCGGCCCTGGCTTTCATCCCGCCCCTTCTGGCTGCCTTCATACTTTGCCTGACATATAATTCTCCTCCACCAGCACTGTCGGTCTCTTCGGACTCCCATTCTTACCAGTTTTACTCGCTAGAACTGGGCAGAGGCTTGGAGGACAAAGGCGTTCAGCTGTGTGGGGGAGACGGTGGACCGCCCATGGGCACTTTCTAGGGCACTTCCGAACCGTCTCTAGGCCATTAGACCCCACTAAGGACCCGGAGTCTGCGGTTGCCTAGAAACGGCTGCTAGCCGCCCTCCCCGTCTCCTTTAGCTTTCCGCCTCCGACCTCCCCAAGAGCATTTCCGGTTCCGGCTACAAGCCGGAGAAGAGATGGCGGCGTCTGCGTTGGCCACTGCCGTGGAGGAGGACTGGTAACTTTGGGGCATGGGTTTTGGCCGGCCGCTTAGCTTTGGTCCGAGGGACTAACGGCGGCCGCTGAAGGTTCGCCTTGCGGGCGTATGGGGTGGAGCTGGGGATGAGAGCTAGCAAAGACGCTGACATCTCTCCCTAGGAGAGCCTCTGAACTGGCGAGCGGGTTTTGGAGGGGCACTGTTGTGAGCGAAAGGAGACCGGGTGTGGGCTGGGCCCCAGTTCAGTTCGCACCTCATGTGCTTTAATCCCTTCTCCGGCCCCACCCTTTCCCATCGTCTCTTTTGCTCAGGGGTCGGTGGGATGCCACCTCATCAGACCTCCCCACCTCCCTGTTACCTCCAACTTCCGTCTCCCTTCCCCCTTGTATCAGCCTGTTTTTGCTGAGGCCTTCCTCAACCTTCTCTCTCCCGTATAGCACTAATGAGGACTATTATCCGAATAAAGCTTTACATTTCTCAAAAAGATCTTTTAGCCCTTCTCGCAAGTATTCTTAACACCAGAACCTCGAAGGACTCTAGGATTTGGAAACAGGGTAAATATAGCTTCACTCATATTTTACTAGCTGTGTGATGCTGACCAGACCACTTAGCTTCTATGAGTCAGTATCCTCAGCTATATGAAGAAACGAGTGTGGCATCCACTTCATAGAATCACTGAGAGGATCAGGACGTATTTATAACATGTATAAGCCTCACTTTCATTAAGATCTCTGAGGTGTAGGCAGCTGAGGAGAATAGATGTGGCCCCAAGAGGTAATTTGCCAAAAGGTAAATATTTACCATGAGGAATCCAGGTCTGTCTGAGTCCAACTCTTATATTCTTAGTACTAGAAGATTCTACAATCCCTTTTTATGTCAGCACCTGCTGCATACCTCACATCCAGGGCCCATATCAAAGCTAGAGTGGGTGAAGTATTGACAGGCCTCCTGATTCAGGCAACACAGCTCAGTGTTTCATTGACTCAGGGAGCCCAGCCAGTGCTGGCCTTGATTGAGTCCATCTAGGCTGATGATTTCAAACTGTTCTTGGGAACTTTAAGATTCTCAGACACCTTGAGCCATGGAGACAGCAGCAGTGGCTGCGGCAACTAGTCTGTGGTGCTCTGAGCCTCCCATGTCAACAAGAACTACTTCACTGTTACCTATTTTATATTTCGGGGTTTCTGCCTAAGACCGAGGAGCCCTGGTGGCACAGTGGTTAAGCGCTTGCCTGGTAACCATAATGTTGGCAGTTTGAACCCACTAGCTGCTCCATGGGAGAAACGTGGCAGTCTGCTTCTGTAAAGATTTATAGCCTTGGAAACCCTATGGGGCAGTTCTCCTGTGTTCTATAGGGTCACTGTGAGTCAGAATCAACTTGAGTGTAATTTTTTTTTTTTTTCGCCTAAGACTAAAAAGCAGCTTTGATAATGAATAATATATAGGCCATGCTAGAAGAGCCTTGGTGTTGGTGAAGAGGGAACAATGTTTATAACTATTGGAAAGCAAACAAAGCATGTGTCTTTCATGTATCGCCTGCGTAGAGCTGTGGAATCAAACCAACCACTCATCTTCAATGTCACTATAATTGCTATTTGTGATTAAGCATGTGTGTCCTATGACTTACAATAGAATCACTGGATCCTGACTTGGACAGGTTGATATAAGATCAACCAAACAGCCAAGATCATAAATATATCCAGAATACTCTGCAAACTAAGTCCTTCCCTCTTTCCTTTTACGGGAGAAAGTTATGTACAAGCAGGAAAAAAAGAGGACATAGACTATGGGCCAGATACTATTAGGTACTTTACATAAACAAATCATTTTTAGTCCTCATTACAAACCTTAAAGAGTAGGTGGTATTGTCCATATACAGCAGACAGAGCAGCTCAGATCACATAGCTGGTAATTGGTGTCCTGTTACTGACTCCGTGACTCATGGCTCTTCCACTCCAACACAGCCGTTATACCACATAGACCTTTCTTCTGTTCAGGTTAAGATCTCCTTTGAGAAAGTTTAGGGTGACTGTTGTTGGCAGTGTGTGTAGAGAGTAGTCAGGGCACTGTCTTGGCCCCACACTGAACAGTATGGAGAAAGCCAGAAGTAGTGGTAAGTTTGATGCTAATGAATAGACACCATATTTCTGGATCAGAGATGGCTGCTAAGTGACTACCAACAGTGGAATGAATCCTAAATGGGAAACTTGACTCTGATCCCAGTTGTGCCTCTTAAGCCTCGAGATTAGGGCTAGTCATTCACCTCTTTGGGAATCTGTTTTCTCATCTTTTGACAGAAATGATCTCTAAAATTCTTATTCCATGCTTTCTACTTGGCCACTTGACAGCATATTCCTCCATTTTAAAGGAGTTTAGCATGAGAATACATTCAGGCAGATTGTCATTTTCTACAAAGCCAGCCTTCATTGGCCTTAGCAGGCTTCAACAGGGAGAGCTATAATGTTAAGCCAGTCTCCCCCCTGTCTCTCTAGGGTCCTTCCCTCTGAAGTTGAAGTGTTAGAATCTATCTATCTGGATGAACTACAAGTGGTTAAAGGAAATGGAAGGTATGTATCCAGCTAGGGGTGGGCAGAGCCTTTTAAGTAATGAAGAGAGGATTCCATGCAGAGTCTGGTCTTAAATCATTGTGAGGCTTGATTCAGAGCCGATGTTTCTCTCGTGAAGACAAAGGCTGTTCCTTTCATTCTCCCAAGAGACCGTCCACTGCTCACGTCCTCTGCCCCTGTACTGTCTCACCCTTGTCCTCCCCAGTCCTCAAGCCCCTGCCCAGTCACAGCCCAGGTCTCCACTTCATCCACCTGCAGATCTTCACCATGGGAGATCTACATCACCCTACACCCTGCCACTGCAGAGGACCAGGACTCACAGTATGTCTGCTTCATTCTGGTGCTTCAGGTCCCAGCACAGGTGAGGCCCCTAGTCTGTGACAGCAAAGGGAGGAAGGGGAGAGGATCTGAGGTGGAGCACTTCAGTGGTAACTTGATATTTCCTCCACTAGTATCCCAATGAGGTGCCACAGATCTCTATCCGGAACCCCCGAGGACTCTCAGATGAACAGATCCACACGTAAGTTGGGCTGGTTGGAGCAGAGAAAACTCAGGATACAGCTCTGCCTGGTGAGGGAAGGGGGCAGGCCTAATATTTAGGTTGCCCTCTTTCCTCCAGGATCTCACAGGCGCTGAGTCATGTAGCCAAGGCCAATCTGGGCACTGCCATGCTCTATGAACTCATTGAGGTAAGAGGTGTGCTGTGCTATCCTGGGGAAATGTCCTTCCCTCCAAGCTAGAGCAGTTTTTCTCAAGAGAAGACGTGTGCCCAGAGTCTGAAATATATCTGGAGTCACTTCATCTCGTCATTGTTTAACCACTGACCAGCTGCTGTAGAGTTGACTCCAACTCATGGCAATCACATATGTATCAGAGTAGAACTGTGCTCCATTGGGTTTTCAATGGCTGACTTTTTTAGAAGTAGATCACCAGGCCTTCCAAGGTGCCTTTGAGTGGACCCAACCTCCGTCTTTCGGTTAGCAGCCAAGCACATTAATCATTTGTACCACCCAACAACTCCAGTCATTGTTTAGGTAAGGCCTGCATTAATCCAGAAAGATGAGACTCCCTTCTATTTCAGAAATCTCCCCAAAGATAGTTCTATAGCTTTCCCAAGTTGGCTACTCCAGCACCTTGAAAGAAAATTACTTTTTCTCTTTAACTTGTGGTTTTTCTTGCTTCAGTTTCAGTGCATTTTCTGTTCTCTTCACACTGGCAAATGAAAATGGCAAAGGATATGGATCTTGCCTGGAGCAGGGAGGGGGTGTCTTAGTGAGCTATACTTGAACTTTTGAAAGCTAGTCTGCCATCAGGGCTGAATAGAAAAAATCATGGTTCCTTCACTCAGAGTGAATACCCTGGCTAAGGAAATGATCCACATGAAGCAACACCTAGAACTGCACTTGATATGTATTGGTTGAGATTAAAAATACACAGTTAAGTACAAAGTTGTTTTCCTCTACTTTGGATTAAATATAAGAAAAACATTTGGAATTGAATGAAGGTGGGTGGTCTGGAGTCAGTTACTGTTGGTTGCTGTCAAGTCAGCTCTGGCTCATAGTGACTTTATGTATAACAGAACGAAATGTTGCCTGGTCCCGTGCCATCCTCACAATCATTAGTATGTTTGAGCCTGTTGTTGCAGCTATCGTGTCAAAAGCTCTCATTGAGGGTGTCCCTCATTTTGGCTGACCCTCTATAAAACATTATGTCCTTTTCTAGGAGGGGGTGGGCATAGTAGACCACTGTAACACTGCTGAGTCAAGCCTCCACAATGCAGCTTTGAACTTTGTGGAATTCTAGAGTATTAACTATTCAAGTAGCACTACAAACACATATTTTATAGCTCAACCCAGTGCCTTTTGAATTCTCTGCCCATTTGTGTTGTCCATGCCTTGACTTTCTTTCTGAAAGCTATCTCCAGAACAAACTCATTGCCCTGCAGGGGAGTGATACTCCAAGGGGGTTAGTCAAGAAAGACTGCCAAGAAGATGCGAGTTTTAATTGAACTTTTCTTTCTCTCCAAGATACATTTATTTTCATCTCCCAAGATGAATTTAAAGTGACTTACCGAGAGAAAATAAATTGGATTTGGAAGCCAGGAAGATCAAACTTGGGGGAGGGTTGGGGATGTGGAGAAGGACTGGTTCCAAGCAAAGGGAGCATCACCAAGACAAATGCATCAACACGAGTCAACAAACTGGTTTGGGGGAGTCAGTCCGGCCAATTGACAGTGGTCGAGTGGTCAACAGGCTTGGCTTACAATTCTTGCTCCTGCCTCTGTTTGAGCGGTGTCTTCTCTCCTCAGAAAGGGAAGGAAATTCTCACAGATAACAACATTCCCCATGGCCAGTGTGTCATCTGCCTGTATGGTTTCCAGGTGGGTTTTTCTCTTGGCACCTGGGGATCTGCTTGGAAAGGCAGCGGAGGGCTAGTAAAGAGCTCTGGCACAGAGCAATGCATCTGTCCTCCCTCCAGGAGAAGGAGGCCTTTACCAAAACACCCTGTTACCACTACTTCCACTGCCACTGCCTTGCACGGTACATCCAGCACATGGAGCAAGAGCTGAAGGCTCAAGGACGGGAGCAGGAGCAGGAACGGCAGCATGCTGCAACCCAACAGGTAGACTCCACCCATTCCTGCTTTCTTCTGACACCTTTGGTCGCTGACTTTCACAACCTTTTCCATCCTTTCACTGCAGTAGCTCAGAACCTTTTTAGGGTCCTAGATAACTTTGGAAGAAGCCCTAGTGGCACAGTGGTTAAGTGCTCAGCTGCTAACCAAAAGGTCAGCAGTTTGAACCCACCAGCTGCTCCTCGGGAGAAAGACGTGACAGTCAGCTTCTGTAAAGATTTACAGCCTTGGAAACCCTATGAGACAGTTCTGCTCTGTCCTATAGGGTCACTATGAGTTGAAGTCGATTCAACAACAGGTTTAGATACCTTTGAGTTTAACGAAAGCTCACTTCAGTCCAGAAAAAAGTGTATGCTTATATATGCTTCCATATTGTGTGTACTTTCAGGGAGTTCCCAGACCCCTAGTTCCCACCCCCTGCTCTGTCCAGCCTCATCACTGAATGAGTATGCCTAGGCACTTCAGTCTCCACCCTCTACGGAGTAGGCTAGCTGGTTGGACAGCTGGGGGCACACCTTGGGCTGTGAAGCAGAGGTGTGATTTCTTTTTTAGGAGGCAGTTGGCGTGCAATGTCCAGTGTGCAGAGAGCCCCTCGTCTATGATCTGGCCACACTGGAAGCAGCCCCTGAGCCCCAACAACCCATGGTAAGGGAACTGCTTCCAACCTGAGCCAGGAATAACAGCATTTTCCAAGGAAGGGGGAGTTGGGCTTGACCTGCCTAGGACCTCTCTGCAAAGCTGCAGCCTCACTGGGAGCCTAAGGCTTCTGACTAGAAGCCAGAATCTGAGGGGCCAAACCAAGAGCCTCATGCAAATCTCTGGCGGCAGTCCTGGAAGAGCAGGGGTTCAAGTCAGCCTTCTCCTGTTTATTCTTTCCCTCCTGCCATCCTGCTTCCTTCCCTTCAGGAGCTGTACCAGCCTGATGCAGAGAGCTTGCGCCAGCAAGAAAAGCGCAAGCAGCTTTACCAGAGACAGCAGGAGCGGGGGGGCATCATTGACCTTGAGGCTGAGCGTAACCGGTACTTCATTAGCCTCCAGCAGGTGAGAAGGGTTTCCCACTCCTCCTTTGTGCCACCTTCCTACAAATGCTATGGCCCTAGCGTGGTCTGTATTCTACCCACTCTGGTTATGGGATGGTGGTTGGCTCAGATAGTGAGAGATGGACCTGCCATTCCCTGCTTTGTAGAAACTGCATTTCCCTCACTGTATCTCATTGCTTCTTTCTAGGCTCCTGCCCCTTTGGAACCAGAGTCAGCTGTAGATGCCTCCAGAGGATCCCACCCGCCCAGTGCCCTTGCCACAGAACTGTCCACCTCATCAACTGCCCAACCCACCCTGTCAACTCTTCTGCCTGTGGCCTCCCAACACACGTGTGAGAAGATTTCAGGGGCTGGGCCCAATCAGCAGAGGTTGGGCAAGACCCAGAAAGCTATGCCAGATCCTCCCCGGGCCAGTCAAGACCCCTGGCAACCGCCTGAACGGTGGCACCTGAAGGGAGGGGAGTGTTGTGCTCCCAAAGGTACCAGTGACACTCAGGAACTGCCACCTCCTGAGGGGCCCTTCAAGGAGCCCACAGACCTAAACCAAGGGGTTCAAGGTCATCCCCAAGAGAAGGGGCCTGGCAGCCGGCAGGGACCCCCACCCCGCAGGACTCGGGACTGTGCTCGTTGGGAGCGCTCCAAAGGTCGGACACCGGGTTCTTCCTACCCCCGCCTGCCTCGGGGTCGGGGAGTCTATAGGCCTGCTAGTCGGAGAGAGCACCTGGGCCTGGAACCTGAGGATGGTTCCTAGCAGTACTGTGGGTGGGGTGGGGAGTCTGGGGTGGGAGGGGAGCAATAAAGAGATTCAGCCTTTGGCTTTTTGTGCTCAACAGTGCTCATCCCATGAGTTATGGCTCTCTTCTAAATTCCTAGCAAGACTGGGGTGGGGCTGAATTGTTCCAAACTGCTCTGAAGTCTGTTCTCCCAAGGGGTCAGGATTTATATAAAGGGGTCCAGCATCTCAGCTAGTGAGTTTTAGGGAATGCTAGTGGGATGTCAACATGTGAGCAGAATACTCAGGAACCACTCTACCACATAACCCCTTGTGTTGTGTACCTGTTGTTGTTAGGAGCTGACTCATAGCAACCCTGTGTACAACAGAACAAAACACTGCCCGGTCCTGTGCCATCCTCACAGTCGTTGAGCCCATCGTTGCAACCACTGTGTCAATCCATCTCATATAGGGTCTTTCTGTTTTTCACTGACCCTCTAGCGTGATGTTCTCCAGGGACTGGTCCCTCCCGATAACATGTCCAAAGTATGTGAAACGAAGTCTCGCCATCCTTGCTTCTAAGGAGCATTCTGGGTGTGCTTCTTCCAAGACAGATTTGTTTGTTCTTTTGGCAGTCCATGATATATTCAATATTCTTCGCCAACATCGTAATTCAGAGGCATCGGTTCTTTGGTCTTCCTTATTCATGGTCCAGCTTCATATATGTATAATTCTTTTAATGCCTTTGGGGGAAGAATGTACTTTCCTGTGTACTATAGTATCTCTTCTCCCCTTGTCTTAAGCTGTGCCCCAACTACTTGTTTATGTTGTCCCTGACCTCTGTTATTAGTTGCCGTCGAATCAGTTCTGACTCACGGCAGCCCCGTGTGTGCACAGTAGAATTGTTCCATAGGGTTTTCAAGGCTCTGACCTTTCAGAAGCAGATCCCAGGACTGTCTTCCGAGGTGCCTCTGGGTGGTTTCAAACCGCCAGCCTTTCGGCTAGTAGTCCAGCACTTAACTGTTTGCGTCACCCAGGGACTCCTGTAGGCATCTGCAATTGCAGACCCTGTTTTTTACTCAAGTACCAATACAGTGAGGGAAGTAGGGGGCTCTGAGACAGGAGTGTGGCAGGTGTTTATTGGTCTCCTACAGTTGGAGAGCTGTGCACAGCTTGGTCACCTCTTCAGAGTCTCAGCATTATGGATTGCGCCTGCAGGGTCGTTTTTATACAGCATGAAGTAACCCTGCACCTGGGCAGGACTGATCTGGGTTGTAGCTTTAAGGACATGTTCTGCAAAGGCCTCAGCCAACGAAGGTGCTTCCCCTGGATAGAACCTCTGGAACATCTGGGACAGCTGCCAGTGTGAGCAGTAGCCCACGTACTCCTTTAGGTCTACTCGCCCGGGGCGTATGAGGGCAGGGTCCAGCCTAAGAGGAGGAGGCAGGAAAAGCAGAGTCGTGGGTACCAGTACCACCAGCATCCCAAAAGTTGGTGTTCCCCTCTAAACCTCTGGATCTTCCCAGGGCACTGAGGGGGTGGAGTCTTCTTACCTCTCAACATGGTTGGTGGTCATGAACACAATACGTGCCTCTGTGGAGGCCACACCATCCAGGGCATTGAGCAGTCCACTAAAGGTGAGACGACCTAGACCTTGGTACTTTACTGGGTCTGGAGGAAGGCAGGGATAAAGAAGTAGGAGTAGTCATAGCCCTACTTAAAATGAGCATCCCTTCAACTCCCCACTAGGTTCCCCTGCTTATCAGTGCCTCTTGCGGGCTCTTTTAGGTAATCCAGGCATCCTCCATCAGTCTGTGGATTTCCACTGCCTTATGTGTGATTCCTCATTTACTCCTATACCTCATTTATCTTCACTTACTCTCCGCAGCTAAGTCTCGACTGAGAAAAGCAGCATCCACGTCCTCCAGAAGCACCAGGCTCTGCTGTGGGGCCACGCTCAGCAGGTGGTTGAGCCGGTCATCGGAGAGGCTGGAGTCTGTGAGACTCAGCAGGCAGATGCTGTGTTCCAATTCCCCGGCCAGTGCTGTGCTATGGGGGTGGGGAAGGGGAGATGGTAGGCCACCTTGGAAATCTTCCTTGGGCCCAGCTGCCCTTTCCTCACTGTCCTGCGAGGTGTGTCTCAAAAGTCTAACCCTTCTACCACCCCACCCTGATGTTCCACATGTCTCACATTTATCCAGGACCCTGTTCCCCAGATTTCCTTTCCAACCCCATCAACCCAGTTTTTCTCCAAAGGTTAAGTTTTACAAAGTTAAGAGAAATTTTGACTCTACTCACATAAAACTGCTCTTTCCACAACCAGGGGGCCCATAAAGCAGGTAGCCACGTCTGTAGGGAATGCCTAGGAATATAGCCAGGATTATCATGAAGACCTAAAATGAATCATGTACTCTGCCCCAGATATCCACATTCATCCCCAGCCCTGCCCCCTGGAGGCCTGATGGCCTTGGTATTGGAAGAAATTATCCTGTAGGCAGCTTTTCTTTTCCTTTCATCTGGAAAATGGCCTAGAGTTTTCTACTTGCCCCATCTCCTGTCCTAACACACCAAAACAAGCCCAGTCAAGACCCCAGCTGCTGCTTACCTCTGTCAGTATACCACTTGGGGTTATCAATGAATTCTCGGATGTCTCTGACAATTCGGTCAGCCAGACCTTGTTGTAGAACCACAGAACTCAGTGGCCGCCGCCGGCGTGGATAACCAAAGGGGCGCCACTCAGAGCCCACGGCTGTGTACATCACTGTCTTCCCTTCCTCTTGCTGCAAGGCTAGCTCTCGAGCTGGGAGAGGGGAGATGAGACAAGGCCAGTAGTTCATCTTTCGCCATGGCTGATTCTTGAACTAGACAAAGACCTGTGCTAAAACAGCTTGCTCCCTACTCCCATGGGCTCTGGTCCCCTTATTCGTCCTCTCCAAGGGTGCTTACTCTGAGGTCAAATGTCCCCACCTCTACAGCCCCACTATAAAGCTTCCTGTGCCATCCACACCTTCCTCCAGGATGTTGAAGAAAACTTTGCGGTCAGTGCCCAGGGCCGTGAAGGTGACAGATTCCCAAGGAGTCCCCGTATGCAGGTCTATCATCTGCATCTCTCGACTTCGTACCACCCGGATCCATTTCCCCTGATACCTAAATATGAATGGCCAAAATGACAAGTTTAACATAGAAAAATCAGTTGGATTCCTCTACCCTAACAAAGAGAACTCCAAAAAGGAAATTAGGAAAACAATACCATTTACAATAGCCCTCAAAAAGATAAAATAATTAGGAATAAATCTAACTAGAGACGTAAAGGACTTCTGCAAAGAAAACTATAAAACATCACTGCAAGAAACCAAGAGACCTACATAAATGGAAAAACATATGATGCTCATGGATAAGACGACTTTAACACTGTGAAAATGTCAATACCCAAAGCAATCTACAAATATAACGCAATCCTGATAAAAATTCCAACACTATTCTTTACTGAGATGGAAAAACTAATCACCAACTTTATATGGAAAAGAAAGAGGCCTTAGATAAAGTATTATTGAAGAAGAACAAAGTACGAGGCCTCACAATGCCTGATCTCAGAACCTACTATACAATTACAGTAGTCAAAACAGCTTGGTACAATGACGGACACATAGACCAACGGAACAGAATTGAAAACCCAGAAGTAAATCCATCCGCTTATGGACAGCTGATCTTTGATAAAGGGTCGAAGTTCATTAACTGGGGAAAAGAATGTCTCTTTAACAAATGGTGCTGGCAAAACTGGATATCCATCTGCAGAAAAACAAAACAAGATCCATACCTCACACCACACACAAAAACTAACTCAAAATGGATCGAAGACCCAAATGTAAAACCTAAAACTATAAACATCATGGAAGAAAAAATAGGGACAATGCTACAGGCCCTAATATATGGCATAAACAGAATACCAAGCATAACTAACAATGCACAAACAGCAGAAGATAAAACTAGACAGCTGGGATCTCCTAAAAATCAAACACTTAACACTCATCAAAAGATTTCACCAAAAGAGTAAAAAGAGAACCTACAGACTGGGGAAAAAAAAAAAATTGGCTATGACATATCTGAGAAACTAATCTCTAAAATCTTTCGATGGTACAAGTCAGACAAAGGTCTTATCTCCATAATCTACAAGAAAATCCAACACCTCAACAACAAAAAGACAAACAACCCAATTAAAAAATAAGCAAAGGATATGAGTAGACATCTTACCAGAGAAGACATTCAGGCGGCTAAAAAACACAAGAAGAGATGCTCACGATTATTAGTCATTACCAAAAAACTAAACCCGTTGCCACCGAGTTGATTCTGACTCATAGCGATGTTATAGGACAGAGTAGAACTGTCCCATAGAGTTTCCAAGGAGTGGCTAGTGGATTCAAACTGCTGACCTCTTAACCACTGCACCACCAGGGCTCTGTTAGCCATTAGAGAGATGCAAATTGAAACTACAATGAGATACCATCTCACTCTGGCAATAATGGCACTGATCAAAAAAACGGAAAACAGCAGAACACTGGTGAGGTTGTGGGGAGATTGGAGCTCTTATTCACTGCTAGTGGGAATGTAAAATGGTATAACCACTATGGAAAACAGTATGGCACTTTCTTAAAAAGCTAGAAATATCATGATCCAGCAATCCCACTCCTAGGTATACATCCTAGGGAAATATAGAGCTGTGACAAGAATAAACATACGCACACCTATGTTCATTGCAGCATTAATTCACGCTAGCAAAAAGATGGAAACAACCTAAGTGTCCATGAATGGATGAATGGATAAACAAACTGGTACAGACAACTGAATACTATCCAAAGATAATAATGATGAATCTACGAAACATCTCACAACATGGATGAATCTGGAAGGCATATGCTGAGTGAAATAAGTCAATGACAAAAGGACAAATACTTTATGAGACCTCTATTATGAATAGTTATGAAAAGGTTTACACGCAGAAACTTTTTTTAAAATTTTTTTTATTGTACTTTAGATAAAGGTTAACAGAACAAATAATTTCTCATTAAACAATCAGTACACGTATTGTTTTATGACATTGGTTAACAACCCCACGACATGTGAACACTGTCCCTTCTCAACCTTGGGTTCCCTATTACCAGCTTTCCTGTCCCCTCCTGCCTTCTAGTCCTTGTCCCTGGACTGTTGTACCCCATTAGTCTCGTTTTGTTTTA